CACAATTCCTTCAAGGTTCTGGAGTTGGGCAGCCAAACTTGGTATTATCGTTTTTTTTGGGGGTTTATGTGGCTTGCAGGTCATTTGGGGAAGAGTGAGCATGTCGGAGACTTTTATGACCTTTATGGTATTTCTCTCGCACTTTTTCTCTCTCACCTCCTGCGATCTCTCTCTCTCGCTCTCTCTCTCTCTCTGACGCTTTTACCCTCTATTTTTGAGCCAGAATCCGTAATTCGATTTTGTAAGCCTGATTCCTACCAACCCTAAATATGTACCACCTCGGGTGGACGATCCCATACGACCCACACCCCTCCCCCCATCGGATTATCGTCGGTCAGAATCTTTACGGTGGGTCTCCGAGCCGATAGGGCTCGAGGGGCTGGACCGAGAAATAGCACGCCATCCATCATGTTGCTGGTATCTACCCCCTCACCCACCATGAGTCCCTCCCTATAGCCCACCCTTTAACTCGGCAGTACTGATTAGGACTAACCTCAAATACTTGGCCCCAGCGATGCATGGCTGGATAAGGAGCCATGTATCACGGTCGGTGTGTTGCGCAATGGGGGGCAGTTCCTAGGAGGTGATTTGGAGATGGTATATATATTATATATATATATATACTTTATTCAGTAGTTGAATAAGAGTGGGGAGTAGGCAATGTGTGGTGCCACTGGTTCAGAGGTTGTATAACATGCGGAAACAAACGGGGGAGGGAAGAAAAGATCACAGAAATTGGGACAGGTCCATTTTTTCTAAAGTTACACGAAAGCTCTTTGCATTTCCCAATTGACCTTCTTTGAAGACCCTAGGCGGGAGCTTATTCCAGGTTTTCGCAACTCTACGCGAGAAGAAAGAACGGGGGAAACCTTGCTTACTATGGATTCTCTTCACTTGAAAAGCATGGGAATTCCTTATCGGACGATTTGTGCATTCCAAAAATTTGAAGGGAAAAGTTTCTACAAAAAAAGACTTATAAAATGTAACTAAATCCGCTTCTGTTCTACGGTGCGCTAGAGTGGGAAGGGAAAAGAATTTTAGTCGATCTGGGTAACAGGGCATAGGCTCATTTGGGAACAATTTCTTATAGGCAAAGAAAGTAAATTTACGTTGGACACTTTCAAGTTCATTGATGTTTCGCTTTTTGGTTGGGTTCCAAATCTCGGAAGCGTACTCCAAAATCGGCCTAACTAAAGTACTGAAAGCACGCCGGTACGTGATCGCATTTGGAATTTGAATTCTTTTGATAAGAAGGAAGGATATACGAGCGGCTTTTAATCGGATAGCGGCGATATGCGATTCAAAGTTAAATTTCTGATTGTAAGTGATCCCTAGGTCCTTAATCACATTTGTCCTTGGTATCCGGGTATTGTCTACGTAGAGATCTTGGAAACGGGCTGGGGGAATGTTCGTTAGGATAAAAGTTTTGGAGGTTGAAAGCGACATTTCATTTTCAACACACCAGCTTTTGACCGCATTTATATCTGCCTGGAGGGCTCTAAAAGCCGGATCAGCCAGGGTGGGGTTGCGTGGCACGCCGGCGTAAATTTTTAAGTCATCAGCAAAAATTAGGCTACTGTTCGTTAGAAGGGAAGGAAGATCGTTTATATAGATGAGAAAAAGTAGTGGGCCTAATACGCTACCTTGAGGGACTCCTGAGGGTTGTGGGTGGGCGTTCGACTTTTGATCACCTATTTTCACATAGAAAGATCGATTTGTCAAATAGGCTTCAATCCAAGTAACCAATATCTGCGGAAAACCTATATGAGAAAGCTTAGTGATTAAAAGTGCGTGGGAAACTTTGTCAAAAGCTTTGGCTAGATCAAAATAAATCGTGATAGGGTCCTCGTCGGCGTCGATTTTCTCAGAGATTTTGTGAAACATTTGCAAAAGCTGCGTGGTCGTGGAATGAAACTTTCTAAAGCCGAATTGGGCTGGCGAAAAGAAATTATTTAGCTCAAGACGCGCCACGATTTTCGTTTTTAAAGCTACTTCCATTAGTTTGCAAATGGAGGAGGTCAGGGCAACGGGGCGGTAGTTTCCGGGCGAGGTTTCGTCCCCTGATTTAAACAATGGGAAGATTTGCGATACTTTCCATTGGTCGGGGATCTGTCCCGAAAGAAGCGAAAGGTTGAAAAAGTGGCATAGAATTTTGGAAAGTGTCTGAGAGCAGTTTTTTAGGAAAAAGGCTGGCAGGTTCTCAGGCGTCCAGTGCAGTTTTGGCTCCAATAATTTGAAAGCATTTTCTACATCGATCGGGGTTAACAGAAAGGGCTTTAAGCTCTTTAATCTTTAAGCCAGTGGGTTTAGTCAAGTGTGAGGTTATTGGGTAAGGTGTAAAATGTCTTGAAATGGAGTATATAAGACTTAAAATAATTTTTATATAAGTGAATATGCAGGAGTTCGCATTTTACGGGTAGTGACTATTTTAGATCCTTTTTTTAAGGTTGTTTCTAACATACTATTTTTTTTGTGGGCCTATTTTTTGCATATCTAATAAAGTCTTTTTAACATCTGGAGAGGCTTGTAAAGGTATTTTCTACCAATGCTAAATTTGTAGCATTTACTGATACCAAAGTTTTGGAACGCTTCATTTTCACCAGATGCTTTGCGGGCAACATTGCTTAGAATTCTATCTTTCTCTCTCGCGTAGTCTCTCTCTCGCATGCTCTCTCTCTCTTAATTAGTTAAATAAGAATTCACTTTCATAAACCCTATCTAATCCTTCCATAATTCCTTCCGAGAAACACCCCCTTACCACCTTATCAATATGCCGACCTCTTCGTATTGAGCACCATAGCCATTGAGAGGGCGGTATCAAACGGCCTGCGCATAGGCTAGTCAACCAGAACCTCCATCTTCTATCCATCTATCCCAATACCACCCGTTCCACCACCCCCACCACCACCCTCTCTCTACCCCCACCTTCTTCTACACACGCCCACCATTTTCACCTGTCTCCCAGGGGCGAGGAATGCTCCCGACACCACATTAAATTCCAGCCCTACTGATTTGCATATTTTATATATACCTCGGGACTGCATATACCTTAATTAAGCCCTTATTTAATCGAGTTTAAAAATTAACCTGCAAATCGATAAAATAGCCAAAGTTATAATCCTTCCTTTTAACAAATCTGCTTGCTGGGTGTTTAAAAAAGAAAAGCTCGAGGGATATTTTAATGGAAATACGATAGATAAGCTTACAAATGAACCATTACTTTCTTACAAAACAATCCATCACCCTCGCGCCCTTCAATTCATCCCATAAAATGCAAATCCTCCCACACTGCCGCGCCATTCACCCATAAGCCAGTCCCATATTTTCTTTGCTAATCGCCACCATTGCATAATGTACCCCCCGATCTATCACCGTACCACCGTGACAGAACGGCCCATTTCCCCGCTCATCCTCCCCCCCCCCCCCGTAGGCACTTGTCACCGGCCACGCCATATGGTCACAAGTCGAAATTTTGAGGCGCTGACTGGCCCATTAACCGTGTGGTGAGGGGGGACTCTAGCTGGGTAATTCGAAGTTAATTTCCGGGAAATTGGGGGACGTCTTGATTAATTGGTCGTCATCGGCTGGCAGGATTTGGGGGAGGGGCAGGTTGTAGCTGGCAGAGCAGGTTGATCATTTTCTTTGGTGTTCTTACTCTGCAAATTATTTTTATAAAATTTACCTGAAGTTCAACTTTAACGTGAGTTGAACTGTTTTAATATAGAGAACCCTACCAGAAATATGCAGTAATTTGGAAGCATGGATTTTTTTTATTAAAAAATCCACGAAATCCGCTTTAAAAGTTCACGTTTTTAAGATGTACCAATGTAGTTCCAAGTCCAAAAAATTCCGTAATTGGAATTTACTAAAATCTATACCAGAATTACTTCTATATGTTAGAAAAAAATATAAATACGGGTTTCACTAAAAAAACTTTGCTTTCCCGAGAGCGCCCAAAAACTTGATATTCAAATTAAATCCACTGCGGAAACAGATCGTACTTATCCAAATTCCTTCCCTCCCAATTCCAGACACAAGAACAACCCAGAAGAAGCTCTGATTCACAAGCTAGCTTTTGAAAGGGTGCTCCCAGCCTGTTTGGCCCAATCTTTTGAGCACCGAAATTTGAGGCCCTCCCCCATCTGCGCGCTTTCTGAAGGGGCCGGTAAGGGGAACGCGAGCCCCTGGGGCCCATTCGGGGGACCCTAAGTTGCGCAAGGCTTCACTTAACGTCCCTCTTGTTCATCTTCTCCATCCATCTGCCTATTCAAAAACAAAAAAAAATGGGTTCGGACAGTTTTGTATCGATCGCTTCTGCCGATTTACTTCACGCTCTGTCCAATATGTATTGCAATTCAAAATTTGGTTAAGCCAATTCGCACGCATAATTTACATTGTCTCGAAAGCTTTTTGGGGCTTTTTAGTGCATCTTAACTAGTCAATAGCCATTCAAAGTTGAAATCCTGAAATTTTCGTGTAATTTTTCTTCGCTGCATTTCAGCGTCACCGTGTCCGGTTTATTGCGCTTCTGCGTATGGAAATATTTGGTATCGTTTAAACCTGCAATTATATACACAATTTGCATTGCAGTGCTGCCGTCTTGTCCAGATATTTTTGTATCCACGTTGCCTTGGTCTCCGCCTCATACCCATTTTCGGGACACTCAATCTGACTCATTACGAGTTTACCGCGCAAATATCTCCAAAAACGAGCTGTGGCATTTGATTTTTGAGTGAGCCAGTGCACGTCTCCCTCTCCACCTCCTTCATTCCTGCCCGTTTTTGGACGGAAGCCGGTCGGTTGGGGTATTTTGTGCTATCTCGACGAGAGATCTCGTCCATTTGGAACCGCCGTTGGAGGACGTTGACTCAGCCTGTTTCACAAATCGCCTCGCTATTTTTCTAAGACTATTTAATACGGTCTTTTATAAATTTTTCATGTCTTCAATTGATTGATATTTCCCATCCAACGCTATTATCTAACCTATCGTTTCCAGGAAAATGAGGGCACTACTCATCTCATTGCTACTTTTTTGTGCAGCGCACGGTGAGTTTTCGGGGGTTCACCATCTCAAGGTTACAGAATTACGGGCCCGGTTGCACATGTTTTTTTTGAATGGCTCATCAACCCCCGAAATGAGATTCATCTCCGAACCTTGCCAAAAGGAAAAGAGGAGGAGGGGGTTTTAGCATTGCATTCCCGTGGGTGTGTGGGTGTGCGTGATTTGGTGTTTATGAGCCGTATTTTGATTGGGCGGCGGGGGGGTTGAAACCATCGTAAGGCGATTTGGAAGGGTTCCCATGTCCCAGTTGGCTTATGGGGGGTCGAAAAAGCGGAAGAAAATAAGTGATGGAGCGAGAGAGAGAGTGAGAGAGAGAAACTGGTTGAGCTAGACATTTGTGGACATTTATTGGAACATAGTGGACATAGGCCGAAATTAATGCTAAATAATTCTATAAAATTTATTCCAGCCGCTCCAATCGAAGGCGACTCCGAATTAAACTCTTTCGATCCGGACTTTGGCGTCTACCTCGGAGAATTCAGCAACCAAGCTGACGGTTCGGTCTCCGGAAAGGTTTGAAGCACCCGATTCTCCCAATAACAATCCACCTGCAGCTTTACGTCGTCAACGACACGGCCCTCCAACTCGTCAACTTTACCTATACGGGCAAGACCCCAGGTCGGTATTATGATTGACTGGCCGGTGAGGTAGTGCCCGGCCCTCATTAAAGGTGCCATACATAGTCGAGGGTCAGTCCAGTGTGTCGATTATGTGCATACAAAGAGGCGGAAACCTTCTACCTTCTTAACACCCTACCCCACTGGTCACCCGCAAAGCCTAAATTGCCCGAGACCTATAATTGGTACCGCACCTTGTGAGGAGGGGATGTCAGGTTTTGGCGGTGGAGGAGGGATCAGGGGATAGATAAATGTTGAACGTATTTAAAAGAAGAAATATCAAACTTATATAAAGCTACGTAAAGACCATTAACTATTTAAATTTGTAATTCTAAACGAACTTTTTAAATATTCATAAATATTATGTAACCCAGGTTTAAATACGAATAAAATTTTTTAAATATTTGATAACGGACCTTTCACTTAAAAATGTATATTTTTTTCATCAATTTTCACGACAACATTAACCTACTACTTTTAGATGTCTATTTCTGGCTGGACAAGCAAGACACCCCGACCCAAGATGGAGTCAAACTACCAACATTTGAATTCGGGTATCTCTCTGTAAATTTTCTTAGTGTCCTTATTTAGAATTGCGCCCATCGGCGAATACAAAAACGCAGCCCGAGTCGTTCTACTCCTCCCCCGTTTGCACAAGATCAGCGAGTTCGAGAGCTTCTCCATCTACTCCCCGAAAGCTGAGGTACCAAAATCTGTTTTTAAGTGAATTTCTTTGCCTCTAGCAAAACTATGGAACCATCATTATCCCGGAGAACGTTCAAGTCCCAAAGGCGCAGTTCTTGGCTGGCGAACTCAAGGTGAGCCACATGATCAAGCTTCTTATATAGTTATTATTAGGGCTCCCGCTACTCTGTCGCCTCCGGTCCGATCTTGGTCGTTGATCGGCGCACGATCAAAGTCTTTGGCTTTACATTCGATGGAGACAAAGCCCCCGGTGAGTGTTACTGTTGACCGCCTCCCATTCGGTGGTTCGCAAAAAGTGTTGATTGGGGGTTATAAATTATCCGGAAGCGTCCACTTGACTGTCGATAGCGCCTTATCATGCCAAAACCCCGGGGTTGCGATCCGGGATGATGGAAGGGGTTGTTTTTCCGGGTTTGGATTGTTTCCAAGGCTAAACTTAGACGCGACGCTAAAGCATTTGGGATTTGCAGGAAGGAAATTAAAATTGGAGAATAAAAGAGAGAAAGCGAGAGAGAAAGAGAGAAAGGGAGAGAGAGAGAGAGAGTTAGTAGAAATAGGTTATTTATCGAATCTATTTATTTATCTAATTTTAGATGGCTACTTCTTCGTTGGAAAGGGTGCTAACATTGTGAATGACGCTGGCGTGAAGGTACCAATTCGAGGACGTGATACTCCTGACCAGTAAGTACTTATAGTTATTTAAGGAGCGCATTTGGATACAGCTTAAAGCTAGTTGAAATCCACGCTACAGAAGAACTGAAGCTAATTACCTATTTTCTACTGCTCAACTCCCGACCCAATCGTCCGATTTTTTTGCTAACCTTATCATTGCTTGCATTCGCAATTCGTTCCTTGGAATTTCACCGTTTGGACAAAGAAGAGGGGGGTGTTCGTGAGGCGATTGGCAACGCAAAGAAGCGCCGAAAAGCCTTGGATAAATGAGGGACCCCCCGATCAGACCACCGGTCAACGAATGGATGGGTGCACGGGGAGCACATGTGGATAGCTAGCTAGGTTTTGCCTGCAAATACACATAGGAAGTAAACTTAGGCTTAGGCTTAGGCTTAGGCTTAAGCTTAGGCATAGGCTTAGGGCTTAGGCTTAGGCTTTTTCGCTTTTCCAACTGCCCAAAAGTGAAGTTTCTGAATAAGCATAAAATTTCATTTTAGTAAAACTTCAAAATCCCGGGCCTTCGTGTTTGAATTGTTCCACTTCCGCACGAACCCTTACGAAATAAGCCTAGATCAACCGGGTTGAACCCAGAGAGCAAAAAGGGGGTCTCACCTCCTGTCCAATAGTTTCGTTGGTCACCCCTATTTCTCCCCCTCTCTCTGTATTGCTCTCTTTTGTGTGGTGGTACTCACGTGAAGGGAAGAGGCTCTATCAGCTGTGGGGGAATACCGCCCCAAATCGCCCCTATTGCCCATGACCACCAAAAACTGGCAATCCCTCCGGCTTCTCGACATTCCCCCTGCTATTCTATAGGATATTTCCTATCATGCAGACATTATTCGGATTTATTCCGCTTCCAAATATAAAATTGCCCGTGCGGAAGCGGGAGATTCGGAATTGGGTTAGGCATTTCCTGGTAGCTAGTATAATGTAAGTATTGTATGAGAAAAAAAAAATTTGGAATGCATTTTACTGGATCTAATTGTATAATTTTGGATTTTTCAGAATTGCCGCTATGAATGAGCGATACCGAGGTGGACAAGATCTCGTCATTGACCTCCCCGAAGACTACGATGTTCTCGATATTGACTGGCTATCCATCTATTGCTATAAATTCCGTGTCGACTTTGGACATGTCGATATTTTCAACATTTCTACCCGTATTCCGCCGTATGTTCCTCCACAAAAGAGGGTAAGTTTTCAAATATTAATGCCTCAAACCGGGCGCTTTATCAAAACCGGAACCACGTGTTTTCTGATTGACACCTGTTTCCGATTTTGTACATGTATCTCACCCCATGATTTCTGCGATCAAACCAGAATTGTTAAGATTTTCCAACCGAGAAACAAAAACATTTTAGTTTGCCGAACTTGAAATCGATGCCAACGCCTGGCCGGTCACTCGATTACTTGGAAATGACCAGCGGAGGAACTTCACCTTCCAGCTCGGACTCCCCGGTGGAAAGAAAGGATATCAAGTAAGAAAAGCTTTCGTTAACTAAATATTGGTACCAAGAGTCATACTGATCATTATTATACTGATTATTTAGGCAATGGCTGGTGCTCGTCCTGCAAAATACGTGTGGTACGTCAACGGCTATTTGGCCGAGCTTTACCTGAAGAAGGGAATCACATACACCTTTATGTGAGTTAAATTCGAGTGATTTGGTTATAGTAAAATGCTTTAGTGTGGAAGGAGGAGACGACAAGTCTACAAATGATTTCTACAACCCACTCTACATCTCCGACGATCAGTACGGTGGTTATGGAAAATTGAGCAAAGAGGAGAAGACGGTAATTTAGACTCTGGATTATATAGATGGCTGATTTAGCAAATCCAATTCTTCACCGGAGCCAATCCGGATCAGCACGTCGGACGACTTTGCGTCTGGACGTCAGATGATACCGTTGACGCAACGAAATTCGACTCGTTCATCAGCTTCAGAAAGTAAGTTCAAACGACCTGGTCACTAAATGTTTCTTAGGTCGCTAACTCTGAAATGCGAGACGGATAAGGAGCCTGAGGTGTTTGAATTTACTCCTACCGACGATATGCCAAGCACGGTGTATTTCCAGGTAAGCGTTGATTAATCATTTTTTTGTTTAAAAAGGTCCATGTACACTCTATTATCGATTTTTAGTCATACGCTACCTACAATATGGGATACAAAATCCATTTGGTCGACGAGATGCCAACTGGAGTACAGGATATCATTGAGGAACCTTATAAATATGAAGAATGGTCTGCAACACAAGAACAGTAAGCTTTAAAGCTTAAAGTTAATAGGAAATACATTTTTATACTTATACTAATTCTATTTCAGGGGAACTGGCCCTACTTCATCAGCTGCCACTGCCTTCTCTTGCTTGTGTCTTTTCTTCGCAGCAATGGTTTTGAATCGCTAAATCCCATCCTCCACCTCCTGCTCCAACCTCGTTCAATTGATACCAGCATTTTAGTACCCCCGCGCTTCCGGGCTTTGTCTCCATGATCTCACCCTCATCGCTTTTTACAAGCTCACTTCAACGCTTTCAATTTTTCAACTTTCACTTACTATCCAGTCTTTATGATTATTATTTTGGCCCAATGGCCTCCACTACCGTAACCACCAGCTTCAGTTCCCTTACGGGCCGGTCCTTCCCTCCACAGCAATTTACCCGCAACTGCCCCCCCACAAAATATTTTAGCCATAATGAATTTTTGCCTTGCTTTTAGACCCGAATTGACTGCATTGTCTATTTATTGCCTACCACCCCCAATTTTAGTCACTTTGCTCGTGGCGATAGTTGTGATTCTCGAGTGCTTGCACAGTTTGATCATTTCCGTGAAGACGTTTTCTATAAATATTCGACTTAAAGGACAAAGACACACCAATAAAAGAAAAAAATTGAACCACAAGAAAGACTAGCGGTAGTTGTTGTTAGTAAAAATGCTCAAAAAATGTCGCTCTCGTTCCCGGAAATGCCAAATATCGCGGTTCCAAAACTTTTCCGTCATGCAAAAATGCAAAGGACGTATAGGGATGTGCATGTATAAATAAATATAAAAACATATAAAAGCATATTTTAAAAAACAAATAAAAACATAAGCATCTAGAAACATATGAAAGCATATAACATAAAATCATAGATACGACGTATAATAAGACGCGCAAGAGGGAACGGGAAGTCAAAATATGTATAACTATATAAATGCGCGTATTTAACATATTAGTCCGAAACAAAAGAATTATAATTTGCCTACTTTCTGGAAAATTGCAATAAAGTTGAAAATAAATGAAAATAAATTCAAAATAGATGAGGCAGATCAGACTCACAAAGTGCCTTGCGCACATCTTCCCAGACTCTACACATTTTGCGAAACAACATCAACCATGCACCTTTGCGCAATGAATTTCTGTAAATACATCAATTCCATAACGCGACGAGCAAAAGCACCGCTGCCGTCGCGGCGGTCTATCTGCTGTAAAATCAAAACAAAACACAGGTCGCTCCGCACCTAGACAAGACGCCGATATCCATTAGAGATTCAGACAGGAGAAGGCCATCTCGACGCTGATTCATCATATTATTTTCCAATATGGCACCTGATTTTCATTGCGGGTGCTCAATGCCGCTTAGATATTCCACATTTATTCTACCTTGTATCGATTGTGTGTCGCGCAAGAAGCTTTCGGCATTTTCTAGCAACAATTTATTATTTATTATTTTTTATTATTTTGGAATTTTTGCGTAGCATTCTTTAAATACCTTGAGTTCCTTGAGTTATAAAATTAAGCGATAATTAGATTTCTAAATTACGTTTTGGTCGCTTATAAGCTTTAAAAACCTTATTATCTTTAGCCATTTAGCTATATAATTAAAAGAACACTATTTTAGATGAGCCAAGAAGCACCGCAGGAAAACGCAACCCCAACCACACCACGGGAAAGAAAAGCCTCCCGCTTCACCAGAGTATTCGTCCCTGCAAACTTCAAAAGAGGCAGGTGGAACTGCACAGATTTCCATGAATTATCATCAACCCCGTTCGAAATTCGCGAAAATGTGCTGGCCCTAGAGGCCATGCCAGACCTCTGGAACCCCACCCCGATTCCCGAGAAAGTGGAGTCTATTCTGGAACAAGCCAGTATTACCGGACCGTCCGGCCAGCCCTTGGGCTCCACCTGTTCGTCGAATGCGCTTGACCGTTCAAATAGCAGCGGAAAACCGACTGGCACCTCTTCTACATTAACTATCATTTCAAATATTCCTGTGGAACCTATTGATGATGACGATGACGATGATGAGGAGGAGCTCGAGCTCCCTGCCCACGTCATCATCCGGAAAAGTTTTATTAGAACAGATAGCGGGTCCCAACCTCCATCCCAAACTTCGAGTCCTGTTCCATTTGAAATTCCCGCCGTCAAACGACTATCCTTGCGCCAAAATTCTATCCCAACCCCAACACTAACTATTATTTCGAACACTATTCATGAATCAACTGATGAGCAGGAGGAAGAGTTGGAAGTTGAGCCTGAGAATATTGTAACATCGGACCGTGCGGTTGAACCGGAGAGGTCAATTTCTAACTTGAATCCGGAGCCGTCACTCGCTACAACGGTAGCTACGGAGGAACCAGTTACTGTGGAGCAAGAGAACCCAAAAATAGGTGGCCTGGTATCAAGCCGGATTCGCCAATTCTCGGCGCCTGTGGAGGAATCGCTACCGATGTATGGAATTCGTCGAAAGAGATATGAATCATATTCTGTTTCACAACTATCGGAACAAACACAGGTAGCAGTTCCTAGCCCAAATTCAGAACAAGTTGAAGCACCCGCGGCGCAGAGCTCCACTAGCAAAGAGCCAACTATTCCTGTTAAATCTGATCCACGTCCTACCGTACCCCCAAAGCCTGCATCCTTGAAAAGCCCTACACCATCAAAGAACGTCGAAGAAGAAAGTTGCATTTCGCAAACGCCTAATGACCCTACTCCACCCCCCGAGCAGCTGCCAGAATCTACAAACGAATCGGCGGATGAACCATTAAATCAACACGTGCGGGAAGCTATCGATCTCGTCAAGCATCATGTCGATTATATTGTTACTCAACAAATCACCGGATACAAGAAGACTATTAAGGAACTGAAGGAGAAGGAGCAGCGGCTGGAGGCGGAAAATGCATTCTTCAGGACCTTTGTTCCGGATTACATTCTTGAAGATGTGGCTGGGTGGATGGCGCGTGGGGTTCCCCCTTCTTAAAGCCGATACGTAGCCTCCAAAAGTAAGTTCTTCCCGATCAGACAAGTTGCTTAAAACTTTGTGGCAATTATTAATTTAAGTATTAAAAGATTTGAGTAGCCAAAAAGCTAATCACAATATTTTTCAGCTTTGTTGCTCCGCCGGGATGTGTCTTTTCATTCTTATCCTTCCGCCCATGCGCGTATCGCTCGTATTCCGGTGATTATCGTTTTTCCGGTACTTTTCAATATTTTTTGTGCAAATTGCTACTAGATCAATACAAAAGAAAACCTTGTTCTCTTTTGTATTAACCTAGTAGCAATTTACATGAAAAATATTTTTTTTGTCATTTGATACATACAATTTTGTAGAATGGAAACTGTGATTTATACCGCTGAGATGCAAATAAGTGGTCGGCTTTTAGTCCTTTGGCGATAGAAATTGAAATTTACAAAGCTTCTTTACATATCCAATACATAGAATTAGTGATCCTTCTCTTGCCATTTTTACAGGGTCTTTTTTGGTTCGTTCTATCATTTTGCGGTGCGTAATTTGGTAGATTTTGTGTTCTTTCCGCCCATAATAAAGTAAGTTAACATAGTATACAAAATTTTTATTATATTTCATTAATTTGAATACGTTAATGAGAGGATTCCAGGAAATCAGGTGGGGAAAATAGAGTAAGACTAGCTCTGGAATTTACTCGGAGTTATGTAGGGGATGATTGGGGGAATCTGTGACGTCGTTTTAAAGATGAGATATGCAGATGCAATCAGAATCGGGGGTCGGAAATGCGAGACAGGGGGGAAATCGGAACCATTTTTGTATAGGACACGGTTTGACACCGTTGATAATTCAGGACGGGTGTCTTCAAAGCTTATTTTGTCGGGGGCGGACGAGAAAGAATCGTACAAGTAAGTGCGTCTCGAATTGCACAAAATATACAAACACACATAAACGTGAAGAAGCAACTAACGAGAATACTCATGCTAAAGCCAGAAAAACACACAAAATCAAGAAAAAAAAACAATATTTTGTCGAATGCTTTGAAGAGGAGGTCCCTGCGGCAGGGGAATGGAATTTTTGTATTGGGATAAATGCACTGGAGTGAAAGTACAATGAAAATAAAACAATAATATCCAAAAAATTATAGTAGATCTATTCAGCAGTTTGGAGGAGATGGGAATGGTGGTGGTGGGCCAGATCGGCAAGGAGGGCGGCGCCGGAAAGGCCGGAGAAATCGAGCTGAGGCGGAGAGCCTAGAAGAGAGGGATTATAGCCGTGCTGACTGGTGGCTGCTGTAGCATGCCATGATGAAGTTTTGAAACTCACCATTGGCCAATGCGGCTCCGACATCATCACCCCATTGGCTTGGCTGCTTCGTGTCCTTCGGGGGCTTTAGCATGTTCTTGTAGTCATTAATGCGCACTTTCTTCCCGTCAACCATACACGTACGCTTTGGGCGAGGACTGGAATTAAAATATTTAATTTAAATCTAAAACTCTCACCGATAACGATAGTCCGGGTGCTGCTCCATATGCAACTTGCTCAACCGCGACTGCTCCTCGTAGTACGGCTGCTTCTCGGCGTTTGACATGGCCTTCCAGCGGCTCCCAAGGATCTTCGAGATATTCGAGTTGTGCATATCAGGACAGGCTTTTAGGATCTTCCGTCGTTCATCCCGGGCCCACACCATGAAGGCGTTCATCGGACGCTTGATATGATTAGGAGAGCGAGCCTAAAAATAATCATAACGTAAAAAATTTCGAGTTAAAATTACCTGTTGACGCTGAGGCGTCGCTCCCTGACCGGATGCTTCACCGGAATGTGTGCTCCCACCGCCAGGGGTGCTCTTCCCAGAACTACCAGGAGAATGCGAGGGGAAGGCTGGAATTTAGGATTTAGTAAAGTTTAATGGCTATTAACAAGTGGATTTTGTCTGAGCGTTGGATACTTACGATCAGCTCCAAAGTTCGGGTTCAACGAAAAGGGCAGGTTGGCCAGAAGATTTGCAGCCGGGTTGGCGATCGGTGAGGAAGGGAGAGGAGACGCAGCGACCGGGAACATTGAAGGCTTTGCATCAATTCGTGCCTGAAAGATATTCCATAAAGTTCCACCTCGGGAACTACCTTGCTCAAATTCAGCGGCCCGTCGGGCTGCTTCTCAGGCAGCTTCACGTTCTTCGTGGCGGCGCTGAGGGCGGAGAGGAGATTCTGCTGGAAGGGATTCTGAGCAGCACCGAGCATCGTTTGATTGAACAGCTGCTCGTAGTTCATCGGGAGGCCGGGGAGCTCTGGAGACATTTAGGTATATCCGCTTCACGTTTTTCTCGCTTGGAGTTTTGCCTTATATCTTGGCCCCGGGGTTGAAAGGTAATGTATGCAGGGATGGCTAGACTGAGGATGAGCCATTTCCCCTAGTCACTCGCGACTCGCATTAGAGAACTTCCGGAGGGCAATTGTGCTAATTGGTGGCTTCTCCCTGGCGGCTGGTTCCCCCCTTTCCTTCTTCTACACCACCCATCTGGCCGGGGTCGGCCTTTTGATGTGCGGTATGGATGGATTGGGGGATCCCTTTGTCAAAAAGGGCACCACATAGGCTAGACAGGGCAACGATAAATCGTTAAAAGGTGCCATGAAGAGTTTTTGGGTGTTTTTGTTGCATTCGAATATCAAGGATATTGTCAAATTCCTTACCAGGTAGCAGATTCATCGGGAAGTTCGGCAAAAACTGCGACAGCAATCGCTGCTGATTCTGCTGCTGCAACATCAGCTGATGGCGCAGGAGCAGCTCGTTCAACGGGTTGACTTGCATCTTCTGAATCAAGTTGTTGGCTCGTCCGAATACATACCAACCGGGTCCGGGTCCTTATATACGACCCACAACCCGAGATTATTACATGCTTGATCCGAGTAGATTCCTAGGAAGGCCTTCCCCTCCGTAGAAAAATGACTATATTGACGCTCGAAGGGGGTACTTGCGATATTTTGGTATTTTCTGCGAGGGGGGATAATCTAGGCTATTCGCCCCCCACCCCCAACCGGGTCGTCATCCCCTCCCTCGATTATCTACGGATTTCGACCCCAACGTCAACGAGTCATCAGCAATATTGGTGAATGTAATGACGAGAGAAGCGTGGCAACATATTTTTGGGTTGAAAGGATGAGAATTCACCTGAACGATTCGCCGAAACAAACCAAAAAGGGTGAGAATGAGGTAATGAAATGCTGGGGATAATTTATTCGGGGCTTGGTTATTTGTTGCGCTGAAGCGCGTCATCCGGTTGCGGGGGGGAGGGAAAGCGGCTATAGGGCAGCATAAAATTTGGTCATACTGATTGCTTGCTTTAGTTATGAGGATGAGATAGATGGGTAACTAATAATGGAAGTAATATAGCTTTAGGGAGTGCTAACATAGAGGAATTTTTCGGAATCCACTAATTTTTTTAATAATTATAATTTTTTACTAATTTTTTAATAATTTAATTGCTCCTTATCTTGATTTTAGTGACGTTAGGTTTAAAATTTAGAATTCCCATAGGCTAATTCCGTGGTTTAGAGCTACAATTCCCCGGAACTCTAAACTTCATCCGACATTATCAAAACTCGAGATGCTAGTTTTTGAAAATCCGTTATGCGATCTCAAAATATTGTTAACTTCCATTATTTAAAATTTTTGTATTGAGAAGAGTAAATCCTAACGATTTCCCCAAAACGTTTAATCTGAATATTCACTCTACACATCCATTTACATGGTTCAACACCCCCAGATAAAAGTCCCCCTAAAACAATATCCCATTATCCAATGTTTCGATCCAAGAATCTAGCGCCTCTCTACTCGACTTTCACCCCTCCCCCATATTGGAGACTAATGAAGCTTTCGGATCCTATTCGAGCCGGCTACAAAGCGGGGCCCACCATTATCCACGTAATAGGAACCCTCGGACCCCTCTCCGACACAAGAGGAGACCCACCTTCTCTTCCGGCTCCTCCTTCTGTTCGACGTGCGCCTCAACTTTCTGGCGTTCCTCGCGACCAATCCGTTCTTTCAGTGCGTTCAGCTAAAATTAATTAAAACTGGTTAAAGTTATTTAAACTAAGAAAACGAAAGCATGTAAAATACATTGAGGGTGAAGATACCCTCGAAGAATTTACCCAAAAAAATCTTATTTAATCTGAAATTAATCAAAAAGTTCAATTAAAATTGACTTAAGATTAGATAAAGTAAAATACTAGACCGATTAAGGAAATGCTCAAAAAATAAGTGCCACGAAAATCCTAAACGGCCCAGGGACCGCGGCTACAAAAATCGGGTGACGCTACTACCCAGGCGATCCGGCTCCTCTACAATATTCCGCCACCCCGGCCCACCTGAAAATCACATACCCAACCCCTCCCCCCTCCCCCCAATCATTTTGTAGTATAGAAAATTTGAAACAAAGCCTTATTTGCTTTTGAGGCGGGTGGGGGCGAGGCTTATCAGAAACGGCCTGAGACAATGTCCCCTTCCCTTTAGCAATGACCACCGCGCTTGACCGTTCCTGGCAGCTGCATGCTAGATAAGGGCTTAACATCTCACCCATCACTGCTATATTGAAACACCATTGTCTTAGAGATCGTACTTTTACGGAAATTGACAGTTAGGAAAATTATCTAAAAAAATTACCTGTTTGATAATATCATCAATGAAGTCGAATTTTTGCGTCTGGTTGTCGAATTGGGAGAGATGCTAAAATTACAGGCTGAGAATCAATAAAAATACCGTACCTCCCGAATCGTACCACCGTCAATCAACGCCGTGCACCCCTGATCGCTCTGCGCCAATATATCTGGGTACTCAACACCCGTCGTCGTCGCCGAAGTGCTGAAAAAGACCCCAGGATAATCAACAATAAAAAGTGTAAGGGAGTAAAAGCCTAGGGAGCCGGAAAATGTTTTTAGAGACCCAACGTGGCGGCGGCTGTCAACAATTGTGGGGGTCAAGCTTTGAATGATTGGGGAACAGGACAAAGAGGCGAGGTTTATCATAAGGTAAACGTCAAAGGGCAGTGGCGATCTTGATATATTTAGTAGTCTCGGATTGAGCTTAAAAAAAACAAATTTAAATGTTAGCGTATTTTGTCGAACCCAGTCCCCATCCCAGTCAAATCACTTAAGGTCTTATTAAGGCTCAAAAAGTTTGAAAACTAATTTTGTCTACATTATTCTCAGATTAACAGATAATTTAGGTTTTTAGGTTAAAGTTGGAAGGAAGGAAGGGAAGTTTCGGAAGTACCTATTGAATTGTTCAAAATAGATCGTTTTTTGGTAGATCGGAAAAATCTAAACCCCGTAATAAAGTTTATAAAATATAAACACATTGGGCTTTTATATTAGAGGAAATACAGAATCCTGGAGCTCCAGACGTCAAATCAAAGCCCACCAAGCCGCGGTGGCAGCGGTAAATGGATGATGCCAGGGGCGGAACAATGGCTGCCGGACGATCAGGGGGTCTATGTCTCGACATCTCTTCAAGGCACCCTAATTAACTTTGTTAGGGATGCGCGGGCCAAGCGCCCCGGCCATCGCATATGCAAATCCACCGCCGACCAGGGGGTCCGCTAAAGCCATAACAGCCTAAGTGCTTCGCGTCGCGGTGCGCTTCTTGTGTTGGCTTTATTAGTTAGTGATTGGTCCGGTAATATTTAAGGGTGATGTCAGGGGTCAGATTTTTATTAAAGTATAGCTAAATTGTCGTCAATAAAGATCTCTTAAGGTAAATTTGCATATTTGGGAGCTTCAACGCGCCTTATGAGTCTTTAAAATTTCCAAAATGTTAGGAGATGCCGTCTTTTCGCTATTAGAAGCCCGGATTTTTCTGATTTTTCTCTCTCACCCTAATAAGGATATTTTGTTACAAAAATGGTTTATAAATTTGATCGGCAGAAAATGGAGAAATCGTTTGTAGAATTTCATTTCTTTTGGCTAAATTCGTTGTTTTTATCATTTAAATTAGCTTAAGCATAATCATTTTGCTGGGGGAAATCATAACCAACAACATTAACCTCTTTTTAAGCCATATATGCAAATTTTAAACATTTTTCCAATAAAGGAGGCTTCCCTAATTTTTGAACACCCTGAAAAGGAAGTTGCATCGAAGGAAAGCGGGCTGTTATTAGAGAAAATACGGTTTACTACGCTTTTAATTTCACAAACGAGAAAAATAGACCCAAAATTCCCGAAGCTACCCTGACACTTTTCACAGCAACGGGCAGTCACCCCAAAACCCGAAGAAGCCCATTGTCCAAAAGGCCGAAAAAGTACTAGCCTCGGGCCCACGGTGTGCCAATCACTTGTCCCACTATCAGCACTGACCGCTGGGACAACGAAGAAGAAGGGATCTCCCCCGCCAAAGCCCGAAAGAGCCCAATTCCATCCCCGTTATCGCCTTCCCTAATTCCCGGGGAGGTCAAGTGTAAAAATAAGAGGTAGCTGGGAGAGAGGGGCCAACAACTGGGAACGTCTGAAAAGTTCGAGCTAAATTTGGCGGTCAAACAGCGGTTAGGTCAAAGCGCTTTTGCGGGAGGTTGGGGCCTGGGAGCGCGGGGAGTGGCGCGTTGGGGGCCTTTGTGCGGATTGCCCGTTTTTGTTGGTGGTTGGGGTTTTTTGCGGGTAAAACATAGGTGTTTCCCAGGATTGTGTCAGGGGACAAGGGTGCTTTGATGAAGGACATATAAGAAATGTAGAGAAAAACAATGGGGGGTATCTGGGGGGTAATGGGTACGGTAATGGACATGGGTAAATCACGGTATTCAAAAAATCGGCCATTTACAGCATCCCAAAGGATGACTAAATTATGGTATTTTAGAAACGGGAAAACGAACGTAGGTGCAAATTATGTTAGTCTAAAGCTTGGTATAGCGATTTCTTAATTTTTATTTTCCTTATATTACCCTCATAGGCATTCTCTAAATACCACCGATTCATCCATTCCAATTAATACAATATGAACCATCAAATACCCCCTCCCCCTACTTGTCAAACACAAACAAAAGCCCCTCCCGCGGCTTTTACATGGAAATTCCGATGGGAGCCACTGCTCTGAAAGCGGCCCCTATTCAACCAGACAAAAGTTTGATGGGAGCAGAATAGCCGGGCCGTCATTCTCGTATTATCGATGCTCTCACATGCCCCGAATTGGCAATGCGATTCTACAGTATGTCCGGGCGGCTAAAGGGCACTCTTTGTGTCAATGTTCTTCAGGCCTGGCCGGCCAATGCAAAGATCCTCATTGGGCCGGTGTGGATGAGAGGAAACAGCCACCCCCGGCCCGTTTTCCAAAAACAAAGGCCCACAATTCGTTGTGTGGCAGGATGGAGGTGCCCTTCGTGCCTTTTGGCCAAAACTACGTAGTACCGTGGGGGTGATTACAAGGGGTGAAGTCAGGCGCGAAATAGGGAGAGGATAAAGGCATTGTGAACGGGGGATGTGGGTAGACGCCAATGTGGCGAGGAAAGGTATATTGTCTAGAATAAAGTCGGTGATGGATGGAATGAGAATGAGAAATAAGGTAAGTAAAAAAAGTATACTTGGTATGCTCGGAGACGCTGGAAGCTGAGCTCTTCATTGAAACGTTGTCGTTCCCAGGTGAAGGTGAAGATTTGTCAATTGATACCTAGAATGAAACTCTTCTTTAGGAAGCACAGTAGTCATAGGACAAGAAAAATAAACGCAGAAGGCTTTCAAAAGTGGCTTTTGGTAAAATTAATGAATGAGAATCAACCCAACATCCAAGTTTTGCCTAGCCACGCCCATTACCATATGGCAATCTACAGTATCCTCGAGAATTAAAGACTCCCGCGCAGGATACGTATAAACAAAAATGTATCTAACCTAACCGAGGTCAACACATGTAAGCATCGACCGGATGCCGATCAAAACTTCACCCTTCCCCCTGGCCACATGTGCCGATCTTTGACTACCAACCCTCATCGGCACATCCCTTGATCCCAATAAACAAATCGGCAACTTGCTAAAGTGAGCGTGCGCGTATTTTGGCAAAAGCTCAGTTAGTACCAGATGTATCTGAGCTGCATAAACAAATTAGAGCCATAATTAGTAGATTTTGACTACGGTATAAAATAAGAGTTGTGGTAGCGACTAACCGGCGGAATCTCTAGTTGCGTAGGCTTTGTGTGATAATCCTCCAACATTTCTGAGCTGTCGTTGGCTTCTACTGATGGTGTCTACAAAAGATTTGTAATTATACCGAAAATTCACACTACCTTATTTTCTGGTTCGGAAATGAAAGTATCCGGGATGCGCAGCTCGTTGTCTTCGAGTACGCGGGTTGGGTTCGCCTTTCGGCGACTGCTCATACTGAAGCGAACATATTAATTATTAAAACATATAATATGTAGATAAAAGCTAGTTGAGACAGTGCTCCACTGAGATGAAGAAAAGACTATAGCTTTTCGTTCCCAATGGCAATCCCATCCCATTAAAGCTTTTATGGAAAGCGCGGGGACAAAAGCTCTGTGCTATCCCTTCAAAATCAAAGAGATGTAGCGAAATAAATGCTATGAACTATAATTTTAATAAATCATTCGCTAAAGGCAAAGCTTCTCCAACGACAATCCAAAAGCACAATCTTTCGGTCCCTTTGATCGGCGGAACAACAAAAACAGTAGGTCCCGGCGAGAACAGCGCGGAGGATCGTATTATTTGTCTAGACTGGGCCTAAGAAATATGTGTAAGCTACCGTATCTTCGTACTAGGCTTACAGGTTCAAGCTCCACCCATTAACCGTACATCTCATTTCCGGAATTGCCAATCCATGGTGCGTTTTTTTCAAAACGGATGCGAGGGCGATGGGAGATGGATTAAAACACGTGGAGTCCGGAAAACCGGGGTGATTTGAAGGATTTGGGGGACACGGCGGTGATACTCATTAATGGGTTGATCACGTAGTATTAGGTTGGACCGAAAGTTCGTGATATTTTTTATTTTCGTCCGGAAAACGTTTTAGGAAAAAATGTTTTAGTGGGTGACGTATGCACAATCAAATTCTCTAGTTGAGCCGTGGGCGAAACCGCAATCCATTCCCTTAGAGTTTTTTCAGTTTGATTTACTAGAAAATCGAAAAAGACTGCGAGCCGCCGTTTCCAAAACAGTTCCGATTTATCGTTTTGCATATTTCTGCATCTAAATAGTAGCTAAAAGTATTATTTTGCTCGCTTCACTTGCATGGTAAAGTTATGGTGATCCTGAAGGATGTCGGGTCAAAAATTTGCGACGCCTCCTAAAGAAATGCAAAAATAATAAAAACACCTGCGCCTAAAATCTCTTGTAAATTTTATCACACATACTATTAAACTCAGCAAATATGGTGGGAAAGAAACAATGATATTGGCCCACAAAAATTTTAGAAAGAAATTTTCGAAGTTCGATTGTACGAACTTATGGTCCAACCTAATATAAAGTATCAGGTCAGGTCTATGCCATATGTCATACCTTTCATGCAAAAATCCTATGCAAAAAATCCAGCACAAAGTACCGTATGCACAAATTTGTAAAAACTGCTCCATTAAAGGGACCGGATATGGGAGGTGGCCGGCCGGTTGGCCATCAGCCCTATCCCCCCAATTGTTGTGGTGGGGCCCATGGCTGGATGCCGGGAGGTGCCGTCGCGGGCCCCGCCCACACCCCCGGCTTCCGGAGCACGTCTACCATATGCCATACGACAAGCAGCACACTCCCTCCCCCAGGCGGCTGATGCTCATAATAGGTGCCCGGTTATGCAAAGATGGCCCGGGCACGCGAGCCGAGAGTCACGGCATACGAATTGTCAATGAAGCACACCTTGACAACTAGGTGGTGTGGGCAGAAAAGAGGGGGGGTGAAGATGAGATCGAGGTGGGCATTGGATGGCAATTCGTGAATAATGCTTGTTTCTAGGAGTGTGGTGTGCGGTAACATGGGATGGATAAGAGTTGGAATGGCTTTTCTATGGGTTTTGGGGACGTTTGGAGTCGGATTCTGAGATAGATGTTGTAAATCTGAGATCGGGATAGTATGCTAATTAGGCTGCAAAGATAGGCTCTTTCCTTTTTAAGCTTATTTCTTTTAGCTTAGAATCTTAATTAGCCTATTATCAATATTCGTGTTAACGCTTAATTTTGTTATACCCCAGCAGAGGTCTCTTAATTAGCCTACATTAATTAATCTATCCAAATACCTTTCCATTATTGCTGACCCTTACTGGTCACCCTTAAATGTATCCAACTGACCCCGAAAATCCTCCAGACCTCAGAAACACCGCGCCAATTCCTTATCTCACACCCAAACGCTGGTTCAGGATGCGAGGATGAGCTGTTGGGCCCGGTCTCAAACAATGATTCAACGGTGCCGAGGAACAAAGGGCGGAGAAGATGCTCATCCCCACATTGGGGAGAGCCATCCACACCACAACGGGCCCGGCTGTAAAAACGTTTGTTCATCGGTGTGACCCACCCCGGCCCTGGGGATGACCGGCTGACCCGAACTGGGGGGACTCCCATTTTTGTGGAAGAACGCAATGTTTTTACTAGGTTATATTTAAATATGAACACCAGGGATTTTGGCTTTATAACATGGTATTAATAATTGGCAAGCTCTTATCTTTGGCAAAAGTTTTCTTTATCGAGGTTTTAACGGCCCCTTTAAAATCCATTGTATGAATTGCTAAACCTAAAGAAAAAGGTTAAAACTAATTATAAAAATGATAATGAAACACCTGCCAAGTTCGGCAAAGTCACAGCCCCCCCAACCCCAAGCTCCTCTCCCAAAAGCCCTAGCGCATCAAAGTGGCTGTTTACTCGCCTGCCTTAACCCTTATTATGCACACCCCCATGTTTTTGGCGGCTTGTTTTTCTTTGTTTCATCATTTGGAATTGGGCAGCATGCAACGGTTTTCCCGGATGGGCTTGGAGCGGATAAACAGCGGTGAGGTGCGCGAAATTGCGAGTCGGTACGGACGTATACTCACTAAAGACATGATTAGTCACTTTTTTGCGAACTGATAGCCAAATTCCCCGAAATTTCAGCAGAAACCCCCAAAAACGTTACGATTTTCATCTCGCCCCTAAAGACTTCCCAACCATCCCCCTCCCGCCGCACTTTCACCCCCAAACAAAATTCCTCCCCAGCTGCTGTTGATTTCAAACAGTGGCCTTAGTACATCATCGGATCTCGCATCCATACAGACAACTAACCATAGCCCTCCCCAAAACAATAAATATGCAAATTGACAACAATCCGGCCCGCCGTTGCCGATATTGGACGACACCCTTCCCGATAAAACACCCAAATTAAGCGCCGGCTTTGTGGGGGGGCATCGCGTTGGGGCAGGCACCGGGAATTCGGACAAGATTGACAATTCAAATTGGTTGACGCCGTGAAAAGAGGATTTTAAGGCACGCGGCGGCATTGGGGGACTTTTCTATGGATGTGGATGAGAAAGAAGGGCTTGTGCGGGTAGTGCGCGGCTTCTCACGGTTATTTCCATTCGAATAGGGGCCCCCTCGATGTCGCTGGATGTCTCGATCCCACGCCATCCTAAGGAATACCCTAGGCTTGAGGTTGGGCAGAACTTCGGGAGACACGGGGCCCAACCCATTCTGGTGGTGCACAAAGGCGCGAAATTCAGGTGACAGGGCTAGCCCGTTTTTTGGATGTTGCTGGTAAGCGCCTTTTTGCCGCGACTTTTCGAGGGTGGTGGGGAGGAGGACAACGGGTAAAAAAGGGTTTGATGGATGAGTGTGGACGTGGATAGGAGGGCCATTGGATAGGGCGCATCCAAGTGAGGAGGCCAAAAGAAGAGGAGTAAGAGGTGGAGAAAGAGTTGGTACGCGCGAAACAATGCTTTGAATGGGGGTATGACGGGTCGGGTACGGTAGGTTTCATGAATTTTAGAGTCTGTTTCAGAGGTTAATTAGGGGAGTTTAAGCCTTGGGAGCTACTGTTCTGAGAATCTCCGCGTATTTTTATGTCAAATACGACTCCATTGTGGAAATATTGATATCATAGGCTTAATATAAGACATGTCTAAGTTTCAATGATATAAAAATGTGGAAAGATGTATAATATAGAATTAACCAATCGGGATAACAGACCAAAGCATGCTAAAAACGAACTGCAGCAAAAACAGAATACTTCAATAATTTTTTCATTACGCTTTGAATTTTAATTTTCCAACATCAGACTTATCTAACACCAACAGTGAACAAGATTTTAAAAACTTACCACTTCTGCAAGACGAAATACCACCAAACCAGCAGCCACTATGAAAAGTGATTAGCACCAATAGCTCAAGCTCAGTTCAACCGTCCGAGCCGAAAGGGCGAATTGCATAATAAGCGTGTGATGGCAGTGTGAGAGACGTTACACCGCACAGCGAGAGGTGTGTGCGCGCAGGGTCCTCCTCCCCCTGTGAACAGAGGTTGGTGTTCCTCCGAACCCTCCCCCCTTTTCCGTTTCACTTTGAATCCTCATTGGTGGTGATGCAAGGAGGGGGAAGGGTAGGGAGGGGGCCTTGTCAAGCTCCCGATCCCATATCCTCAGATATTGCACCCCGAGGGGGAGACGGACATGGACAACTGGCCCCCTACACCATCCCCAGCCAAATTGCTGCCCCGCTCATCCCCTCGCACACGCACAACTTTGCAATTTCGACCCATTGGATTGATGGAGAGAGGGGAATTGTGTCATTTTATAAGATAGAAAGCAGCGGGTTTGGGGGGTTGAGGTGCCCAGTTCCCGGTTAGAATGGGTCAGACATCGGTTTTAGGAAGAGCTTAAGGAGGTAAGAGTAAGTATCGACTATTGTCTGAATCTTAATGTTAAAAAATTACTGATGTGAAGTGTTAAGGGAATTAATTTTTCCTTTTGAAGGGATTTGAAGGCACAATAGTTCTGCTAGTCGAGCGCCTTCTAGATTTCGGAAAAAATACATCAAGATGCAACAATACTTATGTTTAAGTTTGAATTGTGATCGAGGGTAGTCGGTTGTGATCGCAAGCAGTCTGATCAGCAAACTACCGAACTCTTTATGCAAAATTCAAGGCCCGGATCAAAGTAATTCACTGATGAGATACGGTATATCGCGACGTTTACTGCCTTTGGCACTTCCTTATGCTTCTAATGTAGCTAAAAGATAGCCTTCCGCATCCCAACCCATTTAAACAAGACATGCCCCGCACAATCGCTTTTCAAACAGATATCCCAAAGCCGCGTGGAATGGCCTAGTCCAGACATTTCAAGGTCACCCCTCAACTGGTCCTTTGTCTACCAATCTCCAACGAAGGCCAGTTCTAACTTTCGCCCCAACTCCCGAAGATGC